AAAATCAAACAGGGCTTACGGGGTGGAAAGGAGGAAGGGCCAGGGAGTTCAGCCTGATTAGAGGGAGGACACTGGGGCCTTCCAGGAGAACAGGCAGGACCTTGAGATAACTGACTGGACACTCCAGGGTCTATAGCCTTCTAGATAGGACTGCTGGAAGATTATGAATATGCTTTGTTGTGATGCTACAGGAGCTCCCAGGAAATCATTGTAAGATCAAAGCCTTTCGAAATCAAAGGTATACTTGGCTGCAAGTGCGTCCTCCTAACCTTTTATGATTGATTACATTTTGGATGGAAGCTAGAGTACTAGGACTGAGATACCATTTTTCTCCGTTAAGAGTGGACAGTGTCAAACCTTGCATGTTTGAAGTTTGTGCTCTTGGATGTGATCACTGAGGAGACAAAGTGTTCACATCCAGCCACCAGCTTTCTACAGAACAGGGATTACAGGGTGGTGGCATCACAAGGTCAGGGTATGGAGGTAAATTCTGTCATCATTCTGGGAATGATCTATTAACGCCTTCTATGAAATCAAACAGGACAAACTGAATCCACATTTGCAAAAGTAGCAACTGTAGAGTACTGAGTGGGGCATTAAGCAGCTGTCCCAGGAATAAGAGTATCAGGTAAGAAACAAAATTTGGGAAGAAATGGTTGAGACTGGAAATTAGTACATGGGAGCCTAGAGTATTTTCAGGACATTCACACATCATCTGGAGATTCCAGCTAGAAAAGGACATCATAAAGGCACTTCCCCAGAGTTCCCCTAGTTGCTTCTGGAGTTCCTTCCACACGGAGATTCCTAGGCCACGATGAGGCAGGGATTAGTCCACGTTTACCCTCACATGAAACCCCTGTAAGACATGTCCCCCATTCAAGCTGTCTATGACCTTGATGCCTTTGTATGTGGTGAGCCGGAAGGTACTGAGGTAACATAGAGGAAGCATTTTCTTGGAACTATTCCCATGTGAATTTCATAACCCATAGCCCCACCAACCCTCACACTCTCATGAACTAGTGTGTTCTCAAGCCCAGGAAAATGAACAGAGAAAATATAACTGGACCTTCTGGGCTATAGCTGCTATTTGCTGCTTTCAGATGACTCCACATTCACACAATCAGTATGTAAACCAACAATGTTGTGCCAGCTAGTTTTATGTCAATTTAAAACAAGCTAGAGTCATTTTGGAAGAGGAAACCTCAATTGGAGAAATGTACTCACCCAATTGGCCTTCGGGGATATTTTCTTGGTTGATGACATGGGAGTGCCCTGGGCTGGGGTGCTTTAAGAAATCAAGCTGAGGCCGGGCGGTGGTGGTGCACGCCTTTAATCCCAGCACTCGGGAGGCAGAGCCAGGCGGATCTCTGTGAGTTCGAGGCCAGCCTGGGCTACCAAGTGAGTCCCAGGAAAGGCGCAAAGCTACACAGAGAAACCCTGTCTCGAAAAACCAAAAAAAAAAAAAAAAAAAAAAAAAAAAAGAAATCAAGCTGAGCCGGGCGGTGGTGCATGCCTTTAATCCCAGCGCTCAAGAGGCAGAGGCAGGTGGATCTCTGTGAGTTCGAGGCCAGCCTGGGCTACAGAGTAAGTTCCAAGAAAGGCACAAAGCTACACAGAGAAACCCTGTCTTGGAAAAAAAAGAAAGAAAGAAATCAAGCTGAGCAAGCCATAAGGAGGCAAGCCATGGTCTCAGCTTCAATTCCTGCCTCAATATTCCTGCCCTTACTTCCTTCGAAGATAGATTGTGATGTGGAAGTGCAAACCAGATAAGCCCATTCCTTGCCAAGTGGCTTTTGGTTATGGTGTTTTATCCCAGCAATAAACTATAACCAAGACAAAAATGTCTGGAATGAGAAAAATGACCAGTGAAAATCCTACAACAATGTACAGAGTAAGTAGTGGTTTACATACACATTCATTTCTTTTTTTTTTTTTTTTTTGGTTTTTCGAGACAGGGTTTCTCTGTGTAGCTTTGCGCCTTTCCTGGAACTCACTTTGGAGACCAGGCTGGCCTCGAACTCACAGAGATCCGCCTGCCTCTGCCTCCCGAGTGCTGGGATTAAAGGCGTGCACATTCATTTCAATGACTGGTAAAATGGAAATGAAATGGGTATTAAAGGGTACAACCTATATTATGATTCAATTTATATGAAACATATGCACACATGAATGTATGTATAGGATAAAAATGTTTCATACAGCACTAAGAAATATGTATGCATATTGATATGCTTAAAAACAATGTACAGGGCTGGAGAGCTGGCTCAACATTAAAGAGCACTGGCTGCTCTTCCAGAAGACCTGGGTTCAATTCCCAGTACCCCACGGCTCACAACTACTCATAACTCTAGTCCCAGGAGATCCTATGCTCTCTTCTGGATTCTTTGGCCATTGCACATGTGTGGTACATAGGCATACATGTAGGCAAAACACCCATATTCATAAAATAAAAATAAAGGAAAAGAAAACAGTGCATAGAAATATCTGTTGTACCCCTACCCCACTATCCACCTTCCTAGGTGGACATTATGTTATGCATGTTATGCCATTAAATGCTTCCAAGCAAGAACTTCTCCTAAGGAAATATTTGCAGATCTCTCTCTCCCTCGCCTCTTCCTTCTTCCCTCACCCTCTGTCAGTCACTCTGTCTGTCTCTCTCTCTAAATATATCACACACACACACACACACACACACACACACACACACACACACAGAGAGAGAGAGAGAGAGAGAGAGAGAGAGAGAGAGAGAGAGAGACAGACAGACAGACAGACAGACAGACAGACAGACAAAGAGAGCACAAGAGCACCTGAACAAATGGAACTGTGGGAATTGATAGAAAGGCAAATGGAATTGATTAGGTCCTGCCATGGATTCCATGGTCACTGAAGGGACGTCTAGCAGCTCAGTAATGTGATTGCTCCATCTCATGTGAGATCATCGTCATTTCTTACAAGGAGACTAACAAATGTGCAATGGGGTTCTGTTCTCTACTTCGTATGACTGAGAATTGAGTTACAGAAACTTGTGTCTGACCACTGAGTTCTTACATGTAAGAACAAAGTTGGCATTATTCTCTATGTAATAAAAACTATCCCCTCAGTTCATATTTTCTTAAAATTTATGCTCCATCACATAACTATGTAAACTCACATAAAATCTGAAAAGTGTTAACTAGTGGGTAATTACACCAAACACAATAAAGTACAAGCATAACTTGTCAACATGTAGGACCGTATCTGTCATAATTTACAGGCCTGTAACTGGAAAACTCTGTACCACTATTAATTGAATTTCAGAAAGTGTGCCTGTTTATTGTTTAAAGCACAAGCATTACAGAAATGGAGGAAATCCATGAGGCAGGAAACAAATTTTGCAGGTTTCTCATTTTTAACACCTGCCTAGAATTTGCCTAGAGGCAATTTCTAATTGCCTCCTGTTTGGATGGAGTCTGGTGGAAGATCCACCTCAACTCCCCTCCCCTATCTCTTTTTCTAAACCTGCCCCTTCAAAGCCTGTCAAACAGAGCTCCTCCCCTAGAGAAGCTCAAGACCACTCCCACAGGGTATATAAAATGCATCCCAGAAAGCAGACACATGATACTTCCAGTATCTCATCCCAGTCTCCTCTCTGAGGGGCTGGGGAATCACCTGGGAACGCTTTACCCATTAAACCTGGGCTTTTCCTCATTTGGTCTGATTGGGTTTGCTGTATCACTAGAGAGGCCTTCAGGGTGCAAAGACTTATCTGGAGGTTCCACCGAGGTGGGAGCTGATTTTTCCCCACTGGCCCAGGGCTGCATGGTGGGAAAACACCCCTCTCCCCAACACCTGCTCTCTGCCAGCCTAAGATCAACTCTTGACTAGGTGAGTTGCCCTTTCCAAGTCCTTGCCTAGGAGGCCCAGGGCCTCTTCGTTTTTGGGGGTGTCTTGTCAAAGATTCAGCCACGTCAGGCCCCTGACTTGTTCCGGAGCACAGGGCTGCCTTTGCTCCACCTGACCCATTCTGGAGCAAAGGTCTGCCTTTGTTCCGTGGGACCCCTTCTCCAGAAGATGTTGTGTTGAAGGAAATTTCCCCCACACACCCATTTTTTAACCCAAGGCTTACCACAGTGGATGCATTGTGCTAGGCTTCGGGTCCCCAGCATAGATTTGAGAAACAGCACTTGCCATTTGAAGCCTGATCTCCAAATGCCCCTGCAGGGTCTTTTTTTTTTTTTTTTTGGTTTTTCGAGACAGGGTTTCTCTGTGTAGCTTTGCGCCTTTCCTGGAACTCACTTGGTAGCCCAGGCTGGCCTCAAACTCACAGAGATCCGCCTGGCTCTGCCTCCCAAGTGCTGGGATTAAAGGCGTGCGCCACCACCGCCCGGTATCCTCAGGGTCTTTTACAAAATCTATTCAAATTGGCGCTACAGAACTGCCCTACATCCATGGTTTTTGGGTTCTACAGGGGTCAACGTCTCACAGCACCTGTCCATTCACTGCTGGAGACACTGACCCCTCCCCCCCCCCAACTCTACGGCACTTGTCAACCGCCCCTGTGGGGTCTTTTACAAAATCTATTCAAATTGGGGCTATCTGATATAATTGGACAGAACTGCCCTACGTCCACGGTTTTTGGGTTGGCATTCTCATCCTCCCTACAGGGGCCAATGTCTCATAGCACTGGTCTTGTTGGCTAGAGTCATGGTGCCTCCAGATTCCCGCCTATCTGGGAACTGGGATTCAAAAAAAAAATTCACTCTGACCATGCTGCCCAGGACACTGGCCCCTCCCCCACTTCCCCCAGACTCTGCCTACCCAACCCCCTCCTCCAGGGTCACAAATCCAAGACCAAATTCCTCCTCCTTACCCTTCTTCCTGTCTCCCCTCCCGACACTGCTCACCCCTATCTCCCAATGCCTCAACATACACCCTGGCCTAATGCCCCCAAATCTTCCCCGGTTTCTTCTTACATTCTGTCTCGCCAGACTCCTGCCTTCCCACCCATTTCATTTCTCGGTCAGTGCCAGATACTGGAAAAAATTTTAAAACGCTGAGGAGGATCCCCAAACTCCCCTACAGGAATTGGTGAAAATGGCTTTTAAGTTTTTAATGCTCGAGAATGACAGCCAAGTCAACCCGACAGACAAGGCTGCAACAGAACACGCTCCAAGTCCCAGCCTTAGCAGCTGCTCTGAGGCCACCAGGGCCCCCACAAGGGGTACAAGGTAAGTCTGCCACAAGGCTCCATCTCACCGGAGCTCACCCCAAGTCAACTCTGCCAAAAACTTGCTTCAAATGTGGCAAGGAGGGCCACTGGTCATGGTATTGCCCTGACCCCCAGCCACCCAGGAGGCCATGCCCTGTCTGCCGACAGCCTGGGCACTGGAAATCAGAATGCCCCTGTGCAGGTTTGTCCTCTATGCCATGCCATGGAGGTCCAGCCTCACCAAAACTGGCAACTGAGAACTAGTAAGCCTGGCAGAGAACTGATATGGCCTAGACCTGCTGACTCCCATTGCCCTCTCCAAGCCTAGGGTGATGCTGCAGGTAACAGGTAAGTCCATTGACTTTCTTTTGGACATGGGAGCTGCCTATTCTGTTTTGACATCTCACTCAGGTCCTACAGTTCCCTCACCAATTTCTGTCACAGGGGTGGACGGGATCCCTTCCTTCCCACTTAAGACTCTTGACACTTCCCTGCATTCTTGCAGGGTAATTCTTCTTACACTCTTTTCCTGGTCATACCTGTTTGCCCTGCACCTCTGCTTGGCGGCAATGTTCTCAGCCTTTTTGGGGCCACACTCATCTTGGCCCCCATACTCTCCTGAGTATTTCACAGGTCCATTCACAGGGGCCCTCCAGATATGTCAGCCTCTGCACAAGCTTCGAGGACACCAACCAGGTGAGAATTGGCAGGTGAACTTCACTCACATGCCCACACCTAAAGAACTCTGTTACCTCCTAACTATGGTTGACACCTTTATCCTCAGGAAAGGTTGAGAAGGCCAATGGACTCATCAAACGACAGCTCACCAAGCTCTCCACTGAACTCAGGTTATCTTGGCCCTCCCTTCTCCCCATTGCCCTTACCCATCTCTGGGCCACCCCACGCTCTCCTACAGGCCTGAGCCCTTTTGAGCTTCTTTATGGAAGGCCCTTCCTCCCCAGTCACCACCTCCCAGCCCAAACTCCCCCACTGGCCGGGTACCTCCCCTTACCTCTCTTTTCTGAGGTCCCTTCTCTGTTCCTACTGTGATCCTCACCACCCCCTCGGCTGCCAAGCTCCTGGGACATCCATGCTGGACATCTCTCTAGGCTCAAGTGGGCACCTATTCAGGATACACAGTCTGTCCAGCAGCTGGGACCCTCTACCCTCCAGTTGTCTGAGATGCCCCAATAAAGGGCCTATCTGCTCTTCTGCTCTGTACAGTACAACTAGGGCAGAGGTTAATAATCTATTTTTTCCCTAGAAACTTGCCTTCTCTGCTTCCTTAAGAAAAAGATGCCTGAGGTCTCCAGGATGACAATTAACTGGATGCTCCTCCCCTCATACCTCCTGCTGAATGTGAGCCCACCAACTCCCGACTCCTCTTCCCCACATAGTCCCAAGCATGCAGGAAGTAGTCAGAGTTGAACTGGTGCCCCTACACCCAAAGAGTCTGGAATGTTTGAGTGGGAGCTCCACCTCAACCCCTGGTATGGATTACCCAGGGTCCGGGTCAGACATTACGTTCAGTGTGGGATATCTGAGGGAAAAAAATCTATGTACACTATGCTCTTATGTCTGTTAACTTTATTCAGCTAAGACAAATTTTATCTACATAGCTACAGCTCCATCAGATATTCGGGGCAGGTATAAATCTAGATACACCAAGCTCTTTGTGATAGATTCACAACACGCCCCCATGGTTGGGCATGCCCGGCGGATCTAGACACTTCTGCCTAGTCAGTTTCGGGTCAAAATAGCCATTTCTGGGTCAAAACGTCTTGCGTGACTAGGACCTCGTGGCTTTGCATGGTTGCGTAAAGCGCGCGCAACACAACCATGTGATCTATGCGCATGCAGCGCATGCGTGCAGTAGCCACATGAACCTGTATACACATGCGCGACCCAGCCTTTATAAGCCAGCGCCATATTCCTGGCTTCCCTCTTTATGCACATGTCCTTTCAACAGGCCTGAGCACACCTGTCTCTCTCTCTCTTATCTTAATAAAACTCTTGTTAGTGGATTCTGTCATGTTTCGTGACATTTCCTCGCAGGGTAAGAGTGCCGCCAAATAACTAACACTTTGTCCATCTACTTTATTTCTCTGGGATGAAATCCTGTCTGCATAGCTTCAATTCTGTCCTGAAACTCAGTTCTCTTTTGTCCTCTCTTTTACTGCCATCTCATAGTCCTGCTGTCAACTAAGCTCTTATGTTTCCAGCCTCATCTTAGTCCTCTGTTTCCTCGCCTCCATCTCTACTTGCTCTCTACTCCTGGCACTGGTGAACTCTACAAGAGTTCTGCCTTAGCATCTATAAAACCTCTGTGTTCTTCTCTTCTCCCTGGTCATGCCATTCTGTCTGGCTCCACAGAAAATGCCTGTCCTCCTTCCCCTGGCCACGCTGTTCTCTGCCTCCTCGGGAATGTTGTTCCACCTTACCTTCCACCTTGATATGTAAAAACCTCTTTTGTTCTCAGTCAATTGCTCAGGAGAGCCAGTAGGCCTCAAAGCAAGGGGATGGTCTGAGCTTCATTAGCACAAGAAACAAAGCTATGCATCTCCAGCCAGCTTGTCTCCTAGGCTCAGCGGAGGAGTTAGTTACCTAGAAGTTCAGCAGGTCTGAGGAGCTGAACTGTTTGCCAATTGGTCTGGGAATATTTGGGCACGCAAGAATTTCATAGCAGAAGACAGCTGAAATATTAAAAGCTGGATAACACCAAATACTCATAATAAATGGCTTGCCTTTTCACAGACCCTTGGCCGGTCAAACTATAGCTTTAATACACAGCTGAATCTCTATGATATATTCTTGTGGCTCGCCAGACACTGGCACTCTGGCATCCCTATACCCAAAGAATCTGGAATGTTTGGAAGGAGTCTGGTGGAAGATCCACCTCAACTTCCCTCCCCTATCTCTTTCCCTAAACCTGTCCCTTCAAAGCCCACCAAACACAGCTCCTCCCCCAGAGAGGCTCAAGACCACTCCCACAGGGCATATAAGCTGCATCCCAGAAAACAGTCGTATGGTTCTTCAGTCTCTCATCCCGGTCTCCTCTCTGAGGGCCGGGGAATCACCCAGGAACGCTTTACCCGTTAAACCTGGGCTTTTCCTGATTCAGTCTGATTCAGTTTGCTGCGCTGGCAGAGAGGCCTTCAGGGTGCAAAGAACTTATCACCTCTCTCTGTGAAAGGTCTCACAGAACTGTCCAAAAAGTGAGACGGTGTGCTCTGTTTTTTGGTAGTGAAAGCCAGTGTCTGAAGAGGCCCTCCCTCAAGAACATGGACATGGAGCACATGCTTCTACAGACAAGATCACCTTCCTGATCTCCAGCAGGGGCTAATTTTTATAACACTCCTTATATAGCTCTTTCAGAATGCAGAGAGGCAGAAAGACAAGAAGGAAACATGGAGAGAGCTATAAAAAGACCCACTTGCCACCCACCTGCATATAAATCAAAACTTATCATGGTGCAGTGTAGCAGGCATTCTTGGACTGCCAGTCCCCAAATCATGACACAGAGACTTAATATTAGTTATGTATGCTCGGCCTTACCTTATGCCTGTCCCACTAGCTCTTATAACTTATTTTAACCTGTTTCTCTTCATCTGTTTTGTCTTGGGGCTTTTTACCTTTCTTTCACTCTGTATGTCCTACTCCATGTCTGTCTGGCAGCTGACTGGCTGGCTGACTCCAGGTGTCTCCCTATCTTTCTCCCTCCTCTCATTCTTTCTCTCTCCCTTCTTATTCTCTCTGCTCACCAGCCCCACCTATCCCTCTACTGCCTACCTATTGGCCATTCAGCTTTTATTAGACCAATGAGGTGCCTAAGGTGAACAAAGCAACACATCTTTACATTGTTAAATACACCATAAACAAATATAGCACATATTTGTCTAGTCAAAGTAATATTCTATAACAGTGCAGACTGTGAAAACATTCAAATGCCCAGAAAGGAGATGTGAAATGTGTACCCTCTTTACACCTTTCCCTCCTCCACAGCCTCACTAGCCTGGAGGCACCCCTTTGAAACCCAGGTCACATGATGATTCTAACAGGCCTCCAAGTAGAGGATTTGTCAGAGTCCCTGGATTCCCAAGCCTAATCACTGCAAGTAGCATGTGCTATTTTCATGTGGATTTATTCATAAAGTTTCCACTGAAGCAATCCTTATGTATCTGCTTAGGGCCACCCAGAGGTAAAAGTAGTAGAAGTTTGGGAATGAAGGTCTTTTTCATCCTGGCACCTCTGGCTCTTGGCTGAGGCAGGAGAAAAGCAATTCAGGACACAATGTGCAAAGTAAAGTAATGATTTATTATGAAAACAAACAGACATTTTTGGAGGAAAACAAAGAACTTGCCCCCGAGGGTGGCTGTGTTACCTGGCCTGCATGGTAACTTTGGATTTTGGTTAGCCAGGTCTCTGATCCCAAGCATGAGAGAAGACATAAACAAACAGAAATAATGTGGATGAGATGGAATATCATATCCACAGGACCTCCTTAGCACATTTATTCGAAGAAGTCCTTTGGGATCTTGCCCTCATTCTGCAGGGAAAGAGTTAGGATGTCAGAAGAGACTTGAATTTGATCCCCAGGCTACCTAGACTCCATCTTGCTGAAGCCCCCGAGCCATCCATCTTTTACCCACTTGATACCCAGACCTCACCTGAAGAACAGTGAAGATCTCAGCAGCTTTGTTGTAGTCCCAGCCATTGTCTTCAAGGCACCTGGAGTGACAGAAATAACATGATCAGCACAATAGACTTGGAAAACGCCTTTGACAAAATCCAACCTTGCTTCCTGAGAAATGCCCTATATAGAGCAGAAATCAAGGGAACATGTATCAGCATAGTAAAGGCTTTACACAATAACCTTATAGCCAACATCATACTTAACAGAGAAAAAAATCAAGGCACTGTCACTAAGATCAGTGGACTAAGACAAGGATGTCCACTCTTTCCACCTCTTTTCAATACAGTGCTTGAAGTCCTACCTAGATCAGTAAGAGAAAGCAGTAAAGGAGATACAATTAGAAAAGGAAAGTATCTCCTTATTTGTAGATAATATGATTCTATATCTAAGGGTATACCCTAATGATTCAGCCACAACATTTTTTTTAGTATTAATAAATACTGTCAGCAAAGAGGCAAGATACCAAACCAACATTCTTAGCCTTTCAACATACCAATGACAAACATACTGAGAAAGAAATTATGGAAATAATTCCATTGACAACAGCCTCAAAAATAACTTAGAATGTACCTAGCCAGGGAAGTGAAATACCTGTACAACAAAAACTTAAGAACACAAGCCGGGTGGTGGTGGTGGTGGCGGCGGAGGCGGTGGCAGCACACACCTTTAATCCCAGCACTCGGGAGGCAGAGGCAGGCAGATCTCTGTGAGTTCCAGGAAAGGCACAAAGCTACACAGAGAAATCCTGTCTCGAAAAACCAAAAAAAAAAAAAAAAAAAAAAAAAAACACTACAGAAAAAAAAATAGAGGAAGCAATTAGAAGATGTAAAGACCTCCTATACTTATAGATCATAAAAAATAGTATTGTGAAATATCTATTCTACAAACAATCTACAAATTCAATATAATCCCAATAAAACTTGCAACTCTATTCTTTACAGAAATAGGAAAATCATTCCCAAAATTCATATGGAAACACAAAAGCCCCTGCATAGCCAAATCAATTCTGAGCACTAAGAATACTGCTGGAGGTATTACCATACTTGACTTCAAGTTATAGTAAAAGAATCACCATAATAAAAGTATCAGGGTATTGGCACAGATATAAACCCATGCAACTACAGCCACTTGATTTTTGCCAAAGGTAAAAAATACTGATGGTGAAAAGAAAACTTTCTTTAACAAATGATTAAAATCCAGAAAAAAATTGCATATCCACCTGTAGGAGAATAAAACCAGATTTTTCTCTCTCTCACTCTACACAAAAATCAACTCCAAAGGGATGAAGGACCTCATCATATAACCTTAAATCCTAAACCTTCTAGAAGAAAAAGCAGCTGTATACTAGAGGGTATAGGTATGGGTAAGGACTTTCTGAATGGGACTCCAGTAGTTCACCAACAATTGACAAATGGAACTTCATAAAATTAAAAGTTTCTGCAGAGAAAGAAAACTGCCAAATGAGTGAAGAGGCAGCCTACAGAAAAGG